CTGAGGTTTTACACCCTCTTGACCCATAATCTGTGAGGGAGTACTATTCTGTGCAACATTTGTGAATGATTTCTGCTGAAACTTTGGTTTCGAATCCCATTTCTTACCCTTTTGATTCCAATTTTTCTGTGGTTTAAAAGTACTAGACTGAGCATAACTTCGATTCTGCCCTTTTGAACTAACAGTAAGAGAAGAAAATGCTCTCTCAGCTACATCTGAGGAATGCAAATCAAACCTCTGCTCTTGACTCTTCAATATAGCTAGTACCTCTTGCAGTTCAACAGATTCTAAACATTTGGTGTTTTCTATCACTAAGCATATAGGATCATATATCTTAGTGAGACTGATTAACACCTTCTGAACTAATCTCTCATTTGACAGAGTTTCACCAAACGTCTTCATTTGATTTATCAAATCATTTAAACGAGTAAGATACCCAGTCAAGGATTCATCATCACGCATTCTAGTGTATTCAAACTCTCGTCTAAGGTTCTGGAGTTTCACAGATCTTACCTGATCCCCACCGTGATATTCGCCATATAACAGATCCCATGCCATTTTTGCTGAGTCTGCGTTTGCGATTCGAGGGAAAATCTGGTCAGAGACTGCGTTTTGAATGATTCCGAGAGCTTTTGCATCTTTCATGAAGATTGCAGCCATTTTCTCATCATCGTCAGCATCAACATCTGTATCTTCATCAGTCTTAGCTTTCTTCTTCTTCGAATCAGAAACCGGAATCCCATTTTCCACCAGATTCCACAGTCCATATGACTTGAAAATTGTAACCATTTTGATTCTCCAGAACTCGTAGTTCTCACCGATCCAGCCATCGTGAGCTTGTGTGAATCCAGAAACACGTAGTTCTTAGATTACAGATAAGCTCCGGCAAACTTCACCGAGTCCAGAAACGGTGATGTTTGAGCTCACAGAAAACACGCCCAGATCTAATCGAAACAAGGCTCTGAGGCCATGTTAGTGTTACTTTGATTTCTGCTGGGTTTTGATTTCCAGAAGGCTGAACAGAAGCAAGAACAAAAGACAGAAGAAGCTGAACCGAAAAATTTACTTTCTGTTCTCTCTTGCAAAAGTATTGCAGAGGAATAATCTTTGTACAGCACACACCATGCGCACTCACACTGCTTTACATTTAATTGATGGCCTTAGCTTTAGGACCACACAAAACACTACTTTTAATCTTAGTCACTCATCAACCTAATTACATGGATCAAATACCACATGGCACTCATGGCCTTACATCATTTAACCTTACACTTGGCAGATATGTTCAAGTGAATACACACATTAAAACTCATCTTATTTCTAATACTTAATCAGCTATAGACTTATAATTCAACAAAGAGAACATGCTAAACTGTGTATGTTAGACATAACTCAGTTCACAGATTGTTTCCTCTTTTCTTTGTGTCTATCCATGGATGGCTTATAGCAAGGGCGAAGCTAGAGATTTGTGCGGATGGGGGCATCCTCAAACAACAGTCACAATTAAAAGGCTAAAGTATTTACTAATACCATCAAATATCATGACAACTTCATTACCAATACCATCAAATATCTCTCTAGAAAAATAATCATGTTATCATTCATTCATTGATCTTCTATTCGATTTCTCAATCAATTCTTCAAAAATTTCATGGACGAACATGCTCTTTCAACGTTGACAGTAGCAACTGAAAGAGTTAAATCCCCCTCCCCTTAGTGTAAAAATATGGATATACTAAAAAAATGCTAATGTCACAAGTAAGTTAACTAGTGATACACCTTACTAATGTCACAAGCATGGACATTTTTTCCTACGAAAAAATTGAGCACGCACATCCGCCCCCTAGCGCAAGTTAGCTCCGTCCATGGCTTATAGCCTACAAATGTGAACCCTAAACCATAAACCCTAGGAAGACTTGAAAAGAGATTTAAGAAAGGATACGAAGTATTTTGAGCTAACAGAATACAGGGTACAAAACCAAGAGTTTTGACGTTTTAGGATTCATAAAGGTACAAACCCAAGAGTTGTGGCATTCTAGGATTCATAATGGACCATGCAGAAGAATATTCACAACATCCGAAACCTCAAATCATGGTTTTGTTTCCAGTTGACAGGGAAAGTAGGATTACATATATTCATTAGTCATCTGGGTTATCACAATTAATGGAAGCTTTTCGCTGCTTCATGGGAAAAGGAGAGAAAAACAAGAATTTCCTTGACTTTTCTGGGCAACCAAACAAGTTGTAGTCGGGAAAGAAAAAAAGAGAAAAAATAGCGTACCAATAGAAAGGCCAGATGGTGTAATCAAGGTCGAACACAACCAATCGCGGAAGCACTTGGAACATTCCCAGTATCTCTAAAGCCTCTGCCTTCACCCCATCGTCGTCAGCCATTCTCTCTCTCTGTCTCTCTCAAATGTAAAGCTTCCAGTTTGCCTGCGTTCCTGGATGAATTAGGCCATATAAATAAATAAAAAAAGAAACGAGAAATTTTATTTAAATCCATGTAATCTCTTTCTACACTCAACTTAAATTTAAATTGTTAATTGTCTATTTTACCCTATTACATAATTACTATTAAGTAAAAAACTAAATTAATAATAAAATTCAAATTTATCAATAAACCCATTAAACCTTACTCTCACTTATTGTTTATCTTATGTTCATTCTAGTTAAAACCCTAATAGGTCTTGTAGAGAAAAACAAACTTTTTTATTGATGGATGATGATTTTGAAGTTTTGAATCCTCCAACTAAGATATGACTCAATTTATGAATATTTTGTTCGTTTGATTTCAATTTTTTTAAAGTTTAGAAGATGAGTATTTGGGTTTCAATTTTTTTCATCAATGTCCTTAATGGTTTGTTAAACTTTCTGCAATTGGAAAATTCTAAGGAAAAACTTCTTACTAATATTCTTAAATTATAAACTTCCTTGCTTGTTGATAAATATAAGAGGATGAATTGTTTGATTTGTTGCTTATGCACATCAATAGAAATAAAAAAGGCAAATGTTTGAGTTTGGTAGGAGGAAAAAAAAAGAAAGAGGGCATCCTTGCTCCACCCCCTCTTCCCAATAGCCTTTCCATAGCTACTTCTTTTTTTTTTTTTTTTTTTTTTTTTAATATTCAATTACAAATGTTATTTTATAAAGGGAATGACTGTAAAGATAATTTAACATTTTGAATTGGGTTTGAGATGATAGTTTTGGTAATAAATTTAGGTTTAAAGAGAGATTAATTCTTTAATAAAAAAACAAAATGGGTGAAGAAAGTAAGTTAAGTGTAAAAAGAAGTTACATAGGTTCAAATAAAATTTCCCAAAAGAATTTGTATAGAAAGATATTATGCTAAGTTCTAATTTTGTTTCTAATTTTGTTTTGGGGTCTGGCTTGGCGGCTTCCATATGGTCCGGACCATTTAATTCAAAAATTTTAAACCTGCTAGTAATACTTTGTCGGTTCCTAGTTGTGGAGGAATTTTATTAAAACCATTCAATTGAGATTTTGAGGGATTTTAATTATTTTAATGAATCTAGACAGGATTTTAAGTGATTCTTTGAAATTTAATGTGTATTCAATCAGAATTTTAAGATAGTTTATTAAAATCCTTAGAAATCCAAGTATTCAATTATAATTTTATAACATTTAAGGGTATTCAATTAGAATTAGAATTTAAAGAATTTGGAAAGTTGAGGAATTAGAATGAATTAGAGAGATTTAGTAATGTATTTTAAGCATCCACAAATCTTACATCTCTCCATAAGATTTCTAGGGAATTGAATTCAAAATTTTACATAGAATCTCTACAAATCAGTTAAACTCCTATAAAAATCCATGAAAATCTCTTAAATTCCTAATTGAATACACCCCTCTAAGTCTTATAATGGATTAACCATAATAATATGATTCAAATGCACATTTGGCGAGAATCGAACTTAAAACTTCTTACTTACAAGTAAAGAGGAATACGACTAGACCATAATAATAAAGTAACAGAGGACACAAAAACTTGGAAGGCTTATTTCTGTGTGGACTACATGTAGGCATACACTGGCATTACCTAATTAATAAAGAAATTGAGAAAGCCACGCTGGACATACGTGTGTTATTAGAAATTACTTTGTTTGGATGCATTTTCACTCACCCCCCTTAAATGGGGTACTGCTAATAGCATCTCCGTTGGAGTCCTTAAATAGAAACAATCATCGTATAAATGAGTATAAAAATATAAGGATAAAATAAATCTGCAATGGATCGGAAAGTGAGATAGTGTATGTCCCACATATAGGGACTCTATAGGGAAACTTTAAGTGAAAAAACGAAGCCACAATCTTGATTGTAGCTTTTAATGCTTTTAATTAATTAAAAAATGGTTAACATAAACAAACAACAGTACAAGTGGAAAACTGTACTCACAATCCTGATTGAAGATTTTTCTTTTAATGCTTTTAATTAATTAATAAAAAGAGTTAACATAAGCAAAAATTGTGCACTAAATCAAATTATCACGTAAAACCATAAAAACTTCAAATTTAAGGATTCTATTATAAGGACTCTACTATTGGAGGTAGTATTCTTTTAAGGACAGAAAGATTCACTTTAAGTCTTTAAATAAGAACTCAAAATAGTGGTGAGAGTCCCTAAATGAGGACTTCCATTGAAGATGCTCTAACAACCCTATTCATCACCGCTCAAAACTACACAAATTTTAAAATTTAAACTCATCTAATAATAATAGAAAAGTGGTGTTGGTGGTGAGATTTTTTTTTTTTTTTTTTTGGTAAGGCGATAAATTTTTATAAGATTATATATTAGATTAGCCACCGTTGGAGTTTGAACTCACGTCGTCATGCAAAGGTTCAACACCTTTCTACCACTGTTGTAGTAAAGGACCACTTGCAGGTGATGAGATTTGTTTTCTTCGTTGGCGAAATTATTCGAGGAGGGAGTAAATTGAACGAAGATCACTTCTTCGTCCACCGTAAGATCTTGGAGGCATACACGACGGAACCATTGTGTTAGCTTTTTTACTTCCGAACGCTCGTTACCCTTTCCACTGCTTTTTACTAAGCAATTATTCTTAATACAGTAAAAGATCACTAGTGCTGTATTACCAAAACGACCAGAACAAATGCAACCCCCTTAAAAGGGGCGTAAGCCGTCTTCTACGTCTTGCACGAGTGATCCGTTGCCTTTTTCGAGGCTGCTGGTCGACTGATCCCGACTCTGGATCCTCACGACTCACTCGCGTTTGAATCCCTTCGCGATCGATGTTTTGGATTGAGTCAGAATCTTGATGAAATGAAGGTTCGTTTTCTAGAGAGGAAGAAAAGTATTTAACCTCATTGTCGTCTTGCATTTCATCTTCATCTTGGGAATCCAGCACAACGCAATCTTTGTAGTCGCCTTGCATGTCGTCTTCGTCTGGAGAATCCAATACAACGCAATCTTTGTAGTCGCCTTGCATGTCGTCTTCGTCTTGAGAATCCAGCACAACATAATCTTTGTAATTTTCACTTGAAGATTCAGGTGCATCTGTTTTCCTTGGATAGTTCAAAGCCTCATTTTCCATTATCGAACGGTTTTCATCTATCCCCACTGCAGATAAATTCTGTAATCCGCTATTAGATGCATCACCATTTCCTCCCATATGCCTAGCAACTCTAAATCTCTTCTCAAAACAGGATTTTGGGAGTGATTTCGAAGCTAATCCAGTCCCTTGCTGACAATCTTCCACGTTGACCGGTGAATCAGCAATCTGATCATCACTATCGTCAACTTCCTGTATCAAGCAAGATAAAGTGGACACCTTTAGTTGTTTGGAAATATTTTCAACCATTCGCAGAGCATAATGTCGACAAAATTAATAATAGTGCACACCACACACGACATAATCTGGAAGCAAATTTCCATAGAATGCATGGCACACGTGTCTGACGTTACTCTTTTATGACAATCCATATGAACACTATGGTTAAGGCAATATAAGCTTTGAACAGTCATCGCAACTTTAGACAGCATTCCCGGATATCATAACTAAACATGCCTGACGAGTTGTCAAGGACTAAAAGCAGGTACAACTATTTTTTGTTTTTCTTGGGAGCAAGGATCACAGACACCTTGCGAACTTTATGCAACGTACAAAGCATCTAGTAAAATCTAAAAAACATTGATGTTATTAATGGCCAAAGGGCAGACGCTCCAACAGTTTCTGGGAAAATTTTGGAGACTAGCAGAGTTTGTCTTCAAAATACTTGTTATGGAAAATAATCTTCTTTGTACGGTTTCTATGTAAAATAATCTTCTTTGGACGGTTTTTTGGCAATGCACCATCGTTGTTTCTATGTAAAATAATCTTCTATGAAAATAGCAAAATCATTTTCTTTGTACTTTCAGTTAGTTTATAATCAGTTGCATGTCAAGTATCTTTGGAATCATAATAAATACAAAGCACACATGGTACACTGAACGATCAGATACATATAAATGGCATGTAGTGTGGTCAAACTGATGCAATATAATCATGGTGGAGCACATTCGTAATGTCATCCAGCACTAAATTTTCAGTCAAGTTCCAAAAACATGGTACGCATTATTAGCAACTTGCAAATAATAACACCCAAAAGCCAAAGGAACTTCTGGATCATAAATAAATAAAAAAGGATTACCTCTATTGGCGACATTAAACTCATAACCCGAGAAGCAACCTGCAGATAATTTACATCAGAAATTAACCCGAAAGAACTTCTTGGTTACAACGCACAGAGCCCCCCCCCCCAAACAAAAACAAAAAAATAAACCTTTCATGATTTTCTAAAGCACCGTACCTGTACAGGAGGAGAATCTCCTAACAACGAAATTTCAATTCCACTAGCATTGGAACTGGAGGAATTACCATGAACTTTTTTTGTTAAGCTGGACAGATCTTCAGGACACTTCATGCCAGTTTCTAGCTTGTCTGTTTCGTCCATCCCTTGAGAGGAAGGATGCTTATCGGTACAATCAGCATTTAGTGCTTCCCGAGAATGATCTTCAAGGATTTCACAAATTAACTTCTTAATATGAGATCGTTTGGCAGAAGCTTCCTCAGGACGGAACCAATTTTTTGTGAGCTGAAAAATTATAAAATTTTTGTAGCATATCAAATTAATTTCCCACAGTTACAAAGTCATACACCAGTTAAAGATAAAAATACATGGTCAAATGCATCAGTAAATCCTCTCAAATGAAAAGTCGAATAAAAATTTATGTTAGTTTCTTCCACAAGTGAAGAAACAGTAAATTTTTATCAACCTTGGCAGAGGGTAGAAGAACAATGAATTCCCTGCCTCCATATCCTAAACACAAGGAAATAGTAGGGAACAAGTAACCTTAGGCCCCACAATCCATCATTTTATCGATAATAAATTTGTTCATCTATCTGTTCCCATTTGGGGTGCAATACAAGATGGGTTTTCAAGCTGGGATAATAGCAGTTAGATGATCCACAACAACAAAGCCTTTTCCCACTAAGTGGGATCGGCTATATGAATCCTAGAACGCTATTGCACTCGATTGTGTCACGTCTTCCGTTAGATCTAAAGTACTCTAAGTCAAAAAAAAAAAAAAGTACTCTAAGTCTTTTCTTAGAGTCTTTCCCAAAGTCTTCCTTGGTCTTCCTCTACCCCTTCGGCCCTGAACCTCTATCCCGTAATCGCATCTTCTAACCGAAGCATCAATAGGCCTTTGTTTCACATGTCCAAACCACCATAACCGATTTTCTCTCATCTTTCCTTCAATTTCGGCTGCTACCTCGGATATCCTCATTCCTAATCTTATCCTTTCTCTCTAAGTCTTTTCTTAGAGTCTTTCCCAAAGTCTTCCTAGGTCTTCCTCTACCCCTCCGGCCCTTAACCTTTGTCCCGTAATCGCATCTTCTAAGCGAACCGTCAATAGGCCTTTGTTTCACATGTCCAAATCACCATAATCGATTTTCTCTCATCTTTCCTTCAATTTCGGCTGCTACTCCCACTTTTACCTCGGATATCCACATTCCTAATCTTATCCTTTCTCGTGTGCCCACACATCTAATGAAGCATTCTCATCTCTGCTACACCCATTTTATGTACGTGTTGATAATTCACCGCCCAACATTCTGTGCCATAAAGCATTGGTGGCCTTATTGCCGTCCTATAAAATTTTCCCTTAAGCTTCAGTGGCATACGACGGTCACACAACACACCGGATGCACTCTTCCACTTCATCCATCCAGCTTGTATTCTATGGTTCAGGTCTACATCCAATTCTCCGTTCCTTTGCAAGATGAATCCTAGGTAGCGAAAGCGATCACTCTTTGGTACTTCTTGGTCTCCAATCCTCACCCCTAACTCATTTGAGCCTCCGTTTGCATTGAACTTGCACTCCATATACTCTGTCTTTGACCAACTTAGGCGAAGACCTTTAGATTCCAACACTTCTCTCCAAGGGTTAAGCTTCGCATTTACTCCTTCATGAGTTTCATCTATCAACACTATATCGTCTGCAAAAAGCATACACCAAGGAATATCATCTTGAATACGTCCCGTTAACTCATCCATTACCAATGCAAAAAGGTAAGGACTTAAAGATGAGCCTTGATGTAACCCTACAGTTATGGGGAAGCTTTTGGTTTGTCCTTCATGAGTTCTTACGGCAGTCCTCACTCCATCATACATATCCTTTATAGCTTGGATATATGTTACTCGTACTCCTTTTTTCTTTAAAATCCTCCAAAGAATGTCTCTTGGGACCCTATCAAACGCTTTTTCCAAATCTATAAAGACCATGTGCAAATCCTTTTTCATATCTCTATATCTTTCCATCAATCCTCATAACAGATAGATTGCCTCCATGGTAGAGCGCGCTAGCGTGAACCCAAATTGGTTGTCCGAGAGCCATGTCTCTTGCACCAGTCTATGCTCAATTACTTTCTCCCAGAGCTTCATTGTATGACTCATTAACTTAATACCCCTATAGTTCATGCAATTTTGTACGTCACCCTTATTCTTGTAGATAGACACCAAAGTGCTCTTTCGCCACTCATTTGGCATCTTCTTCGTTTTCAAAATCCTATTGAAAATGTCTGTGAGCCATGCTACACCCGTCTCTTCCAAGACTTTCCACACTTAGATTGGTATATCATCTGGGCCCACTACTTTTCTATGCTTCATCTTTTTCAAAGCTACAACTTCTTCCTTCCTAATTCGACGGTAAAAGAAGTAGTTTCTACACTCTTCTGAGTTACTTAACTCCCCCAAAGAAGTACTCCTTTCATGTCCTTCATTGAAAAGATTATGAAAATAACCTCTCCATCTGTCTTTGACCGCGTTCTCTGTAGCAAGAACCATTCCATTCTCATCCTTGATGCACCTTACCTGGTTTAGGTCCCTTGTCTTCTTTTCCCTTGCTCTAGCTAGTTTATAGATATCAAACTCTCCTTTTGGTATCTAGTTGCTTATACATATCGTCAAAAGCCGCTAGGGTGAAGAACTTACCATGAGGCATGATGTATTGGATATCTGCCAACCTATTTGGCATCATTTGGTATAGAGGATTGGACTAGAATGGATAAACCCTCTAAATTTAAGGTCAAAGAGCATGATTTTCACTTTAAGGAGATTAGAATAGGAATTAAAGAATTAGAAGGGAGAGGTTTTCTTCTTGAGTAATCCATCTTCTACCACCAAGTTGGCAACAAATTTGTCATTTCTTGTTTCATCATTCCTTTGAAAATAGTTGCTTATCCATTCAAACCCAATGCTTCATACAAAATGTGGCCAACAGTATATACTATGGATGGTGCACATGACTTTGACAACATGCGGAGGCAACATAAGCTTGACAACTTAAGGATTACTATGGATTAAATTTGAGTGTAATCAATAAATAATAGTAGAACAAGTCAACCAAAAAACACGAGAGAGCAACAGAAGGTACAAGGGAAAATTTGACAACGAAACTAACTTTTTTATGCTGATAGGAGATAGGATCATAGGACTAAGAAAAGTTGTATCATTCATAAAGGCCTGGAAAACAGAACATATACAATCTTTTTGCTTAGGCTCTGGTGAAAGGAGATAGGATGACTTACAAATTTGGAGGACTTTGTGATTTCCAAAGGGCTAAAGTTGACAGGAGCTTCCTCCAGAAAACATTCCACATAATGAAGCAAAAAGAGGCCACAGTCAAATGAATTTTCCTGTTGTGGTAACTGAATAATATGAAAGAAAAGCAAATATCACAAATGGTAACTTAATTCCCTTTGTTAGACAAACATTTATTAAGGAAAAAAGGGCACAAGGAAAGAATGACAAAAAGGACACCTTGGAGAAGAGAACTAAAAACTAACTGCATAAACACAACAATAAATCATATTCCCCTCCCATCAAGACAAATCAAACTGAAGAGTCTAAAATGTTTTGACATGGAAGCTGCCAATCATCCCCATACTATCCAACTCCTCCCCAATATTTAAAAAATTTCCATGATTAATAGTAAGAAAATGTTAGATATCTAAAGTGGAAAGAGATTGTTTCTTTAGTTAATGATACAGATGTCACTAAAAACACAAGGCATTACCTTCAGAGCTACAAATCTCAAATGTAAGAATTTTGAATAATCATCTTCTGATGTGTCACCATGCCTCTCTTTCCACTCTTCACATAGGTATCTGTCATCTCATGACAATGTAAATTATCAGGGAAATCCTTGTGATCAGTAGTCTCAAACTGAAGGACATAGTTTCAAATTTTCAATGTTATAGCATATCATTGGGATTAATTTATAATTTGATAAGAGAACAAATTCCAATATAAGCAATATATTCTTTTACATCTAACACCTCAACTATTAGTTAATGAAATCGTTATTTTTGTTTGATAGAAAAAATTTGCACAAGTGGGCCCATTAATTTTTTAGAATGGGAATTCTAGCTTCCGCATCGACCAAATGTAAACAAAATCAGAAGACTGATAGAATCCAAAATAGACTCAAGTAGAAGCATGAATAAAAAAATTCATAATAGCTTTTGTTGAAATCCAGAACAATGAATTTTTATGGCTGGCAACCAGAAGGAGACTATTGAGGTTGAGCTATAAGAAGCTACCTTCGAACAAGATTCTCGAGGCCTCTATGACTTCCTTTAATTGAATCCATGTGCAAGATGCATGGAACCTTTGATAAGCTTTCAATTTTCTCATCTGCAAGATAATTAGACAAAACAAATTGAAACAATAAAACCATAGTACATAAGGGAAATTAATCACAGTCCTAAAAGATCTTGCCTTTGATATTAACCACTTCTCCAGGATGACAAATGACAATCAAACTCCAATGGAGACTGCACAAGATATAGTAATAATTCATATTAAAACGGTGGTCTAATTCTCCAATGCCACAAGCAGCAACAAAAAAAATGCACGGCATTTTCTCACCTGTAGTTTACAGGAATGAAGATATAATCCTTTTCAAACACATTCACTTTCCTAGTCCATTTACGAACAACCTGAAATGCTGCCTTGCCTTCACAGGCACTTGATTGGTCTTTGTCTAGATCAGCAAGTTTCCGAAAGAAAAAACTATTGAAGAAGTGGAACCTATGCTTTTCCTCAGGTTGAATTTTACTTTTTAAATATCTGTGAGAAAGTTAAAAATGAAAATTACTCAATATCGACTATTTTTTAATCTGGAAGTAGGAAGTACAATCAGATAAAAGGAAAGGGTATAGGAGCTAGAACCAAACTGCAAGTAGATCTTTACACTTTGTAGTTCTCAAGTTTGATAATTAAAGGTAAAGGTGGTAAACTATCAAAAGAATACTATGATCTCAGAAAGGGGAATGGCTTGTTTCATCAACGAAATAGATTCCTCTCTGAAGTACCTGTCCTGAAAGTCTTACTTACACATTAATATGGTTATATGAGTTCCTCAAAAAAAATAAAAAAAATAAAAAAAGAAGCTGATGTTTAATTCAAAGTGAATATAGACATTCAAGTTGTAAATATCAATTAGCATCAGATCAATAAGGATTGGGCAAGGAAAAAGCATCATGTGTGCCTGACAATTTGATGATCTACACAATATAGTAAATTATATGGAACACAAAGGCAGCCCAAACCCAAACAAATTTGAAATTCTGCACTATTTAAAAGCTCAAATCCAGAAATAAAAGATAAAAAAATGCAAGAAGCCTCCCTACACATTTAACGAATTTCTCTGAAAGTTATAATGCCTTCATTGTTATGCAAAAAAAAGGAAGTTCTAATGCTTCCAATAGAGAAACTAGACTTGAAAGTGGCCAGGTCAAACTTACTGAATATAAAAGTCAACTATAGTGTCATTAATGAATTTCTCCGGCTGTAGAAGCTCAAGATCTCTCTTACTTATAGAAACTGCATCAGGATCTCCTTCTGGATAACTCACTTCAAAAGGCTTATCGGCACTACAATAAACAACCAACATGGACCATAATGGAAGTAAAAAAGGATGAGAATGATAATATCAAAGCCAATAAACATACATGTAAGAAGATTGCCAAAAATTTAACACCAAAACAAGTAGTTTTAAATATAATGGGCGATACACTCAACAAAGGTAGTATAAAATTGCAAAGAAATAATAAAAGATTTTAAAAAAAAAAAAAAACTATAATTTGCAAATTACAATGACATAAATTAACACAATATAATGAAAAACAACTCGAGAAAAAAAATTGAGATGGCTAATCTAAATTTTAAGAATGTATAGTTTATTGCTTTGCCTTATGCAGATGAGAAACAGTTACAAATGTGCTGCTCTTAGACACCTGATGCTTGGAGTGTATTATCATGTCCATTATAGCTAAATTAGGTAAGATTACCATGCTAATATTTGGTTCTCTGGTATTGGTATTTGTGGTCAGATAAGTGACTCTGCTGTTGTTTGGTGCCATGCAAGAACAAACCTTGGAGGTCTAGTATTCTAGCCAAGCTTAAGTTTGGTGACAGTGCATTGCTTCCTCAAGATTCAAGGTGGTGAGCTTTCAAATTCTTTTTAATAGTTAACTATCTGGTGAACATCAAAACAAAAACTCCACCATGTCCATACCTCTCATCCAATGATTTAGTATCTTCCTCTTTGTCCACATGAGGTTCATAAACATAACAGCTCAACTGCTCAATGCCTGCATTGACAACAAAGTCAAATGTTACACATGGAACATTTAAGTAGTTTAGCTAATTTTCAAAAGTAGTATTCACTTTTCTTCAAAAGGTTTAGATTTTATTTGAAGAGAAACAAAAATTTTATTAAAATGTAAATCATCAAAACATACCATTATCTAATGTCTTCCTATCCAAGACAGCAGAGAGGCAAAGCAAGACAGGTTAAAATGGAGATAAAGTAAAACCAAATATATATAATATCAAATTTGATCTTCTATTCTCAATACGAATATGCTGAAACCAATTCTTTAGTATAAAATCTAATGTTAGTGTAAATTGAGGAAGAAAGAAGCTACATATTAAGTTTTATAAAGTAAAAAATAAGTGTTAGGAAGAAGGCCCTTTTAAAAATAATCGTGCTTGTTTAAGGCACTCCATATTCAAGTGTAAACCACATTGATTTGTAGACAAAGAATCATTATTTGCTCAATCAAATAGGTAGAATCTTTCAAGTAAATATGTAACGCTACACATTTATAAGGTGTTTAAGGGGAAAAATACATGATACAATCCAATACCACAAAGATCCAATACCATTTATCTAAATATGCACGAACCTGAATCTTTATTTGCATTTCCAGCTCCTCTAGAATCCCTTGATTTAAGATGAAGGTTGAGTGTAGCTTCTTCAACCTACACCAAATTTAATTGCATATAAGTCTTCCTTTATAAATAAAAGGGAACACAAAAGCAGTTGCAGCTAACCCTGCCACACCATTCTGACTCAAATCTCAATAATATCACCAATTTACCACCTCAAGATAAACATTCCCCTTGGCTCAAATTCCCATTTACAGTTAAACCATCTACCTAAAGACAACAGCATAAAAAAAATTAACTGAGATTCTCTGTCCCACATAAAGTATCTAAAATCTATCAAAATAACAATTTACTACAAAAAGTTACTAAATAGTGTAAACTGAAAAAAACTGATATGTCTAAGCAATGTATTTTATCCACATGCACACACATTATGTGAATATACTATCATGTAACTCCCCTAATGCAAAAGAAAGAAACAACAGCTATCCATAGAATGTTCTTGTTTCCTTTTCACCAATAAATCTTCAATGCAAACTACTTGATATTTTAATTTTTTTTATTTGGTGTGTAGAGAGGCAATTTTTACTTGATAAAGCTCCCCCTATCACAGATCAATCACATTTCAACATCCACCTGATCATCAACTTTTTTGTTTAAAGGCACAGTTAGCAATAATGATGGGCCTTGGACACTGTAATATAGTCACAGCTTCACATTCATTTATTTATTCTACCAATTGCCTATTTAAGGGTGGTGTAGAAGCAGATATGGCTAAACAATCTCAAATATAATTCCCCTCCAATACAAAGATCTCTATTGGAAGGGACAAGTCCCAAAAACTAAATCTTGTAGCCCAAATAAACATCACAATACCAAATTCATGCTAGTAAGCTTTGTAACTAGGAAGTCAACAATTAAGGTTGTCATGGGTCTAATGATGTTAGATCAAACGTAGTAATTCTTGTGCTAGACATATCTTCTATAAACCAGAGATCATCCAACTAAGCTAATAACAATAATTCAAAATATTTAGCATCAAACCATTTCACAAAGTGGAAAACAGGTTATCTATTAAACAAGGCTTTGAGGATCGAGAGCTACCTTAGGTTGAAAGCATCCCTTAGAATGACTATGCAGCTATGTGTTATATCGAGAAATACTCCAATCTCAAAAAACTCCAAAATTATCCGAATGCCCCAACACTAATCATTTCAACCTAGTTACATCTAGTCTTAGCCATGCTTGAAAAGCATTTAGAAAGGATGAAAAAAAGAAACAGGACGCTTGATCATAATGCAGCTAGATGTGAAAATGCGTAGTTAATAACAGTAGCATAATGATTAATGAGGCTAAAACCCAAAGGAAACTTTTCTGTTGTTTAGACACATTTGGTTCTTGAAAAAAATAAATAAATAAACAGCAACACTTCACTTATCTTTCAAGACCAGCTGGTTTAAGGAACACTTGCTAAGAAAGAATAATAACCTTCTTCAGGGCATCCAAAGACCAAACTCTTATGGTTAGGGATCTCCACCACAATTGCAAAGGGTATGAAGCCCAAGGTTAAACAGGCTAGAGGGACGATCCAGAAAAACCCCCGAGTAGACTTATATTATACCTAAGTTTGTCAGGAAGACACAAAATGACATATCTTTCCAGCACACTGTTATGCATGTAGCTCATAGTTTACTAGTCATATATACATGTCCCCTTTAAAGCATCCTCCTCCGCATGTACACCACTCTTTCATGAACTTCTTACAATTAAAACCTAAAATCCAAGCATCAAGCCATTGATTAAGAGGTTGGTTCAAAGAAGTTCCCAAGACAGGAGAGGTGAAGTGTTTCGGATACTCATCCAGCTGACGTAAAAATGAGTTAGGTTAATTTCAAAGTTATTTCGTTCATATTTCTTTATGTTCTCCAATTCAGATGCAAAATCTTAACCAGCCTCATAGGAATAACTCTAACAAACCTTTCAATTCGAGTCCTGATGACACAATGGTAATCATAAACTTGGTGATCCACCAAGCTCAAACATTTAGAATAGAATAATGAGAGGATATCCTACTATCTGGAGATTAAAAAAACATTGAGGGGTAGTTTTCATCAAACATTTCATTTTTTCATACTTCTACACTCTATATTATGTTTGTCTTCTTGCTCCTCCTGTTTGCTATGCTTCTTACATTTACCATAACAAGATTCAAATTACCATTTAAAAGGAAGAAGGGGAATATAACAAGGGGAAGGGAGGCAAGCTTACCCTTGCATATCCACCAGAACTTGACTTTGATGTTTGTTCTTCTAATGGAGCTAAAATCATGCAAAAAATATTGGGTAAGATAAATGGCATTCACAAAATAATGAGAAAAAGAGGCACCATAACTATATGATATGTACGTCACAGAATTAAAAAGTCACCTTCATTCTCTAATGGACTAACGGCCAAAGTTGATGAGGAGCATTTCTCAAATCTGTCATTGTCATCTGAAATTATAAAAACTTGCTTACTCTGCAACAATATAAATCAAGTCGTTATCAACAATATGCTTAAAGTGAACATTTGGCATCCCCTTAAAATGAGTAAAATGACGAGTCTAGCAAAATGGAAAGAAACCAAGTATGATCATATTTAAAACTTCAGGGCCAAATACAGTTGCTCTAAGGTTTTCAAACCACACTGAAAATAATTTGCCCAAGTAGGACAAGTTAGGAGTTAGACACTTGAAGCAATTGGAAAAAGCATGAATATTTTACTTGATGATTTGAAGAACTAGAAAGAGCACAAGCATCCGACCCAGACATCCGTCTTGCAGCGCCATCCTCTGCTAATGTACCCACATGAAACGAATCAGATGATCCACATTGACGATCCGCACTAGTACCAGAATCATCGTCTAATAATAATACAGTGCTAATTTTCTTTTGTGGACTCTTTGCTTCTTTTGCAACTACACAGAAAGTAAAAGAAAAAAACTCAGAAAACTTAAAAATCAGTAAAAGGGTTCAGGCAGTGATGACCCTACTACTACTACTACCTCCACCGTCAAAGTCAATCGGTTCATTTCCAACATTTTGAAGCAGAATTTAAATTCGATAATTTGAAGTTAATTAATTGGCGCAATTTTGGAGAGCTAGAACGATGCATTTCCGAAATCCCCAAATTTCCAATTTCTTGTTCCCGAATTTAGTCAGAAACCACAATTCAAAAGGCAAATTAGGAAAAGCGAATGGTGAAAACTTACAGTACTGGAGGAACGTGTACTGGGTGAGTGGGGAACCGAGGCACTTTTTCTTGGCCTTTTTGGCGTTCCTGGGTACCTTCTTCATGAAGTTTCGGAATTTGGCCATCATCTTGGCGGATTGCGTCTCCACCACCTGGTCGTCGGCGCTGAACTCGAACGCCTCGAATCGCTTGCTCGTAGACTCCAAGTCGGACGCGAACCGCCGAGTCATGAAGCCGAGTCACTCAAAACCCGCAAACGAGAAAAATGGCCGAAAAATTTTGCGAGAAATTTGAATGATATAGAAACAGACAGAGGAGAAGGTCGAGAAGCGTACTAGACAAGTCTAAGATAAATGGAAGGAAGAAGAAGCGTTCTGCCAAAAAAAAAAAAAAATAAAGGGGAATAAGTGGGAGACTGGAGTGGGGTGGGCTCCATGAACCGCCACTGCATTACTTCCGTTCCAATTTTTTTTAAATTTTGATACGGTCTTTTTGTTTAAAAATAAAAATACAAATAAAAAAAATCTTTACTGTTATAAAGTCATGGGGGTTTTGGTGGAAAGTTGGAGACAAGGTTCCGATTAAAATAATTGGACATAATTGTCTCTGAAACAAGGGCTGAGTTGAGCGCATCAGAGGCGGTGCTCGATTGTTGGTGCTAAGCTGCTCCGTGTATGGAATCGTTTAGGTAATGAAGACAAGGGTTGGGCTAATGCATCTTTCTAGTGCTAGTCTGCCTTTAACGTGCTTTTGGGCTAAGTTATTGCGTTCGTCGAAATGTCCGCTAATGTTTGTGCCTTTATCGTCACACGTCTGGATTATGGGAAATACTATGTCATGATGATGAATGCATACGTTTGAAGGTACAACTTGAGTTTCCGAGTTACGACAACTAGCGCCAAAATCAATGTTTTGATTTTCGAGCATCTGGATTACACATCGAGAAGAGCTTTTGAACTGTGGAATATAGGTAGTCGAGCCCCCAACTCTTCTTGTATGAGGGTTGAGCTCACTGCTACTTGAGATATCACCACATAAAATGTATAGGTCCTTCGCTGCTTCTAAGTTGGATAATAGAGGAGGTTATGTTAGGTACCTCTTCAAAAAAAAGCTTGCATCGGTTGGTACATTTATCTCATCGCACCTTCCTAATCGCCTTGAAAAAGAGCTTGCATTGGTCGGTAGATCACAAGCAGAAACGATTGAGTGCTGCTGCTCGCCTGGCAAGACCTTGTATCTCTTTCAAAGTAGTAGAGGACTTCATATCCAGGATCATTTAGATCTTTTTTGGATATGCGCCTCACGGGGTTGACCTTCATCGATGGTTTTAATGCGCTGGAATCCATGCAGCTATTCTGCTACGAACCTTTGTACTTCATCTTAGATTTGCCTCTGCTAGGGCAGCAGAGCCATCGACTGCCCCTTATGTTGACCTGCTGGCCTATGTTGCTTATTCGCATGTTCTACTCATTTATGTTACGGGTGCGGTGCATGTGGTTCGTTTATGATCTGGGTACGAGATGCTCGCTGACATGCTTGGTGAGGCCCGCCAATTATGTGATACCTGTCCTTAATTTTTCGTATGTTATATTATCGAACATATAAAATTATCAAATTGCCATTGTGGCATAAACGTTGACTTTTGTTGACCGTCTCGACGTAACGCTTGTGACTAAACTTTTTTTATTTATTCTTATTTTACTTATCGCCACGAACGTGTGGGCGGGAACAGATTCGAATTTGGAGCTACAATGAAGTTTTTACAAATTTTGAGACGTCGAACGTTTTTCGGATACTTCACGTTTGGGAGATATTTATATATTTTGCCTTTAGTGAACCCTATTTTGTAACTAGAGGCCCACGTGTTCCCTTGTCTCTCGACCCTTTCTCTCTCATTCCCCCTCTTTTATTTCTTCCCGTGACTTCATCATCATCTTTCTCTCAAAAACTCTCTTCCTCACCTCTTGGCCTTCTTCTTTTCTTCGAACCAACCCTCCCTGAAGGTACCACACATAACAACAACATTAGCAATGACACCACTCACCACCATCTCCCCCCCCCCCACGTCTTTTATGAATCCCACAAACCGAGGATTGAAGGACGAACCTCTACCCCAAGTTCCTCTCTTTCCTTGCACTGTGCACTGTCACTATGCAACCCTCATTCGACGAGTTTCTGCCATCTACGGTAAAGGTAAGCTCCCTAGAACCTTTTAGATATTGTTATAGTATTCAATCAGGCTAGTTTTAGGTGTTGACCACGCGTGGATACAAGGAAAACCTGATGTGAGGCATTGTGCATTTTTGGAAAACCTAACCGTGGCTATTTGGCCACCTTCCAGTCACTTTTTCAACCAGCTCCAACCTCCATTGAGCCTTGAAAGGGTATATATTTCTTCCCTATATTTCTAGCTTTACATAGGACCTTGAATTACTCATTTTGGTGTTATATCAAGCTCGGAATGAGCTTTGGAAGTTAGCCCTTCCACCTGCAAAATCTGTAGAATTCGTGGAGAAGATAAGTACAACGTACTTGCAGCGTATGGGTGCTCGTGAAAGGCTGCCATGGCCAGCGCATGGAGCACACATGCCTTCTTGGAGGTATCGTGCTCTGCGGAGACCATGGCTGCACTAGCGACTTTTTGGCCAACTTTCCAGCAACTCAACTCGGCATGTACTATGACGCATGGCCTTCTAGACTGCCGCCCCGTAACGACGCGTGAGGGAACTCGAGGTCCCTTGTTAGGTTTTTTGACGTCCTCGAATCCAATTACGACTTTCGTTTTCTCAAATTCAATGTTAGGGTTACTAAATTGTCCTATTTTGTGCTTAGGTGTGTCGTTTGAGGTGACCCTGTCATCCTTATTGTTGAGCGGCACGTTGGTAATGAAGTGTAACAACCCGTCCCGGATTTTACGGAACGAAAAGGTATTTTTGTAATTGCACTAAGTTTGGCATAGTTATTTTAAAATTGCTTTTGGTCTTAATTGGTGTGCCTAAGAGGCCCACCCTTGATTTTGTTCCCCAGCCCACTTGGCTTTCTTCTTCTTCCTTCCTTGTGAAACTTTCTCTCTCACTCTCTCTCCCAATCACTTTCTTTCTTTCTCTCAAGCACTCCCTGAACCCTCTCTTTCATCTGTAACGAATCATCATCCTTATCCCTAAGCTTAACAACAACAATAACCATTCCCACTAGACATAGGGATCTCAAGAAACCCAGGCAAACCTTTGTGGAACCCCAACGATGACGGAGTCACTGTTCACCGTCTTCTCCGTTGAACTTTGACATGTTTCATGACTTTTTCAACGTTAGTAAGTTCCCTCAAACCCTTGGGATGTGTTTTAGGTTAGATCGAAGCTTGTTTTGAGTTATACATACGTATTAATCGCAAAAAAATAACTCAGGGTAGCTTTTCTTAGTTTTCCGGCTAGCACTGCCATTTTCGAGGCGTTTTCCAACCAAACCACGACGACTTAGCCGTCATGCAAGGTATTATTCTCTTCATCTCGTTGAGTACTACAACTTTGGTTTTTAATCACTTGATTTGGTTAAGCATCCAAGAAGTTATGGGCGTTTGAAGTTGTGCCTAGAAATCGACCAAACCTTAGCCTGAAAACAGGTTAAACCTGACCCATAACCCTAATCAGCCCAAAGTTATTGGGTTATAGAACTCGACCTAACCCAGAACCCATGCCATGCGTGGATCCCTAACCTATAACCCATGCCGCGTGTGGTTAACCCCGACCCATAACCCTAATCGGCCTAATATTATGTTAATGTTTTTATATGCTTACTTAGTGGTTATTCAATGATATTGCATACGGGCAAATGATATATATATATATATATGGCTTTGGCCTGGCGTTTGTAGATGGCTTTAGCTGGAAGATACTTATATATGGCTTTGGTCGGAAGATATTTATATTTGGCTTCGATCGGGTGATGTAGTGGCTTTGGTCGATTATGATAACACTACTAAGTACATTATATACGATATATGTTTAATGTAAAGGTTTTATGGCATGCTAGGGTTTTCAGAAAACCTACTACATATTATACTATTGAGTTTTCATAAACTTTGGGGGTTAGTACTTTGATGTTTTCTTAAACTTTGAGGTATTGAGCTCCGAAGAGATATATTTTGGAGAGATATATTTTGGAAAGATTATGTTCAGGATTTTTCTATGCTTACTTGGTGGATATTTATATATATATATGTGCCTTTAGGCGGGCGATTTAGTGCCTTTGAGCGAAAGATATATATGCCTTCGGGCAAGCGATGTAGTGCCTTCGGACGGAAGATATATATGCCTTCGGGGCGGTGATGTAGTGCCTTCAGGTGATTATGATACCAATATTAAGCATATTATATACTATATATATTTTATGAAGGTTTTATGGCATGCTAGGGTTTTCGGAAAACCTATTATTTATTATATTATATGAGTTTTCTAAAACTGAGGCTAGTATGCTTAAAGAGTAATTGATTAAGTATTACTATATATAAACTTGGTCCACTCATGTTTTGTTTTGCGCCCCCCTTTAGGACCTATGAACAAGGCATATGACTCGAGCTACGAGGCATTTTCATATCAGTGAATTTGTGTTCTCCTCTCTAGCATAAGACATCTCTTGTAATCGCATTTTCTAATATTCATTCTGCTTGTATTTCGAATTAGTAGTATGCTCTGAACATGTCATGCATTATCACTTTTAAATTGTTGGCAATTGATTATTATATTTTATTAAGGTTGTACTTGAATACTATATTGCGTGGTTATACGCGAAATTTTTTATGCATGTTCCTCATGTTCTTAGTATATGCATTCATGAAATGGCTTGTGTCACCCTTGGGTGTTAGCTAGCATGGGATTGAGGCGTGTCAAGTTAAACTCGAGCAGGACTGCTCTCGTGCTCTCCTAGTGCAACTGCCTACTCTAGTGCCTCACATGAGGATCTCCTTGTGGGCCTAGTCTTGTGTGGCAGCTTTGCCTAGAATGTCCGGAGTGCTCGTCAGAGTATGAACCCAACCTCGAATGCACATTGACTCATGGGCTGAGTCGAGAATGAACGCTTCTCTGTGCATTAAGGCAGAAGAAGATGTTTTCTCGAGGGCTGAGCCGAAAGTATAAACAATCCTAACACTCAGTTCATGGTGGGCTAAGCGACTGCTTGCCGAGATGTCATAGGAAAAAGTCACGATCATCTGCCATTATCCTACTTTTGAACACCTCGTTTGGGGCATATATTGCGTCTCGATGCACTCAAAAAGTTGATTCACCAAGGTTGTTTGTTGCGTGAGGGCGCTACTTAGGTTGTTGACCTACCGAGGCAGGTGATGTTCACCATTTGGAGTGGAAAAATCTAGATTATGGGTGTCTCCATATGTGGTGTAAGTGTAATGAGTTGCAGGTACGAAACTTGGGCCCGAAGCAAGCATACCTATGGAAAAATGAGGTGAAAAAAATCCCTGGGTCGATCGTCGGTCTAGTGGTCGAAATTTGGCTCGCTTAAAATGGCCTCGGACCGGTCTGGGCCATGGGTCGGGTCACGGGGTGGGCCAACCTTCCTAGCTGGTTGAGATGTGTGCTAGAGCGCGTTGGGCTCACACGTGGGCCGCTTGCCCTTAGGTCTGCGCTGCTTGCACTTTCTGCTGGGCTCGAGTTACATTTATAGCAAGTTGGGCTTAAGCCGTTGCGACTTTGGCTGTTGGCTGGGCTCTAGTTGCTTAGCTGACGGCTTGAGTTGCAGTGGCTTCGGCTTCCTAGCTTAGCCTGCTACTGGGAAGGCCTGGGCCTCCTGCCCGTGGGCTGGTGGATGAACCTGGGCCTCTTGCCCCAAGGTTTTAGGGGTCCGTGTGCTACAAGGGCAGCAGTGCAGCTATTTGGGTATGCCTTGGTAACCCTGTCGTGGCTGCTAGTTTACAGCCATGGTGGTCAAGTTGCTCTGCGGTGGTGGGCCACCTCTTGCCAACGTGTTGAGCCTCGAGGATCGATGTAGTGAAGCCACGTCCTCTTCTCCAATCTGGTCAAAATCCTTGAACATATGAGGTCTTGTTTGTCGTGATTTCAAAATTCCTACCATTGTATCCTTTCTCTAGGGATTGATCAATGAACTTTTCTAGGATAAATTAATTGATACAATGTGTGAGAAATTCAACATAACAGAAAATTCCAAAAATCAATTATGAGAGTTTTCTTCGAGTATTTGAATTATCTCTCAATGAAAGCACCAATTTGTCGATGCAAATTTTCGTCGTCCTTTATTTTGACGAAAATGCACCTGGAAAACAATCAACACCTTTGATCAAATACCTAAGCCTCATGCGCCCACGAGGTGGGGGTTTAGGCCAATGAATCTTTGATGCTTAAGTTAGTTTCTTTGAAAATAGTATGTGTTTAGGGCTTATAGGGGTAGCAAAAACTTCTCGAAATTTGGTAGAATTAGAGATATATATAGGGGAGAGGGCCAGCCATGGTGATAGGGTTTTACCATACACATGACGACATTCTATTGGACAAGGTTCATGGAGAGAATATTCTCAAGATATTATGTAGGAAATGATATCTTGAGATAATGGTGTAAAATTGTAAATTTCCCTAATTGAGTTAATAGAGATTACTTACATGTAGTCAATCTTCAATTGGAATGTATTAGAGATATGATTTGGGTAATTAATCCTTATTTTTAATGGTTTGACTTTTTCTTGTCATGTGCAAGTGAGCATAAACCTTTAGGGGTGTTGAACTGCGAGTGAAAGTATTTGAGAAGCATGCCCATTTAATGAGAGTAATCTTATTTTTTTTTTAGTAAAAATTCACGTGTCGCCTCTAGAATATTTGTATTTATTTTGAACTCCACATAAACCATTTTCTCTTTTGAAAGCATAGGTTAGAAAATAAAGGAAATAAAGAAATCAAACAAAATAAACGATAGGATCTCAAGGTTATACAAGCTACTATACAATATATTAATTACCATACGCTTGAGTATATATCAAACAGGCTGCAAGGAAAAGCGCGCAATAGGCCAAAGACGGAAGATCTTTAGATCTTCATCCAATATCATTATATGGAAGGGGTGTGCTATCTATATATCCTATTTTACTTCTCACACATCATTTAATAATTTCTGTCCGTTAATCTTCTTCAATTCATTCGATCCGATGACCGAAAATTAAAAAAATGTGTGAGAAGTAAAAGGAGGTGTGTGGATATCACATTCCTATATGGAATTGTAATTTTGAATCTCTGATTCCAGAAAACCATGCCTCATTATTTGTTGGATTGAAAGTAATTCCAAATGATACAAACTCAAGCTGATACATTGGAGTAACTTTATCCACTTGGTATTTAGTTTTTTTTTTTTTTGGGGTCAATTATTGATATATATAGTATCAATGACAGGAGAAGTTACAAAAGAAGTTTCAATGACAGGAGAAGTTACAAAAGAAGTTTGACTTGGAGCGTAACCTGTACACAGGTCTGAAGGTGGCTCTGTCACTGCTTGCATAAAAGACTCATTTAGAAGTAATTTTAAAATAATTAAAAACATTTTTAGTGAAAATATTTTTAAAACTAATCATTAGTAAAAAATTAAGTTGATCCTGAAAAATCACATAACTGATATTTCTTTCAAAAAACACATTGTTCGTAGTTTGTTTTTTCTTCCTTAAAAAAAAAAAAAATTGTATTCAACTGTACACGTTTTCCAGATTGCTATAGTATGAAGAGTCGGTGTTCATTTAATGTCCATAATATAGAGAGTGGGTATCGTCAAACTCGTGCTGCCATAGAAAGTCTAGATGGATCATCCTCCATTTAGTCAATTTGTTATTAAAAGAGGGTTTGATCTGTAAAGTTATCTCTATCAATGACCATTTTCTATCATTAAAAGCAATGACCCAAATTTATGGACTGAAGGATGTTCAATTGTATAAGCAATGACCCAAAATAAATCTAGGGTTCAAACTCAAAAGCTTGATGTAGAAGCTTAATCCCTTCCGCTTCTTCGGCTCCTTTGTACTCCTTTCTCTTGTTAGAGGTGGAAAATTGATCTATTTAGTTGTTAATGGGTGCCCATGAACACTCATTTAGTTTGATTTCACCTTACACTATAACTACTATTACCAATCTCACATCTATATTATGGTGATATGAAATTAAACAGGTCTTAACGAGTACTCATTAATAACCCAATGGTTTGATTTGCCACTTTTACCCTTGTAGAAGCTTGATCCCTTCCTCTTGAAGTTGAACTAGTTGCAGAACGTGGAGGTGGATATTGTTGAGGCGTTGGATGAGTTGATGGGGGTAATGGAAGTGGTATTTCACCTTGAGTTCTATTTGGAACTTCAACTTAGATACCTAGGTATAAAATTGACAAGGAATAAATAAATAGGCCGTATTACGTTTATTTTTATGACTGAATGCGAGAATGACTGAATGAGTTTTCTTTTATGAACCAATGGTTGAGATTAATCTCATCCAAATACACTAATAATTTCAATTCAATTTTGAACATTGAATCGAAAAGTTCAGTAATTTTCGGTTTCTATACATTTTTGTTTTGATTCGGTTTAGAAAATTTTAGTCCTTCTTTTTTCTCTTTCTTGACGCAAAATAAAAGTTATCTTGTTTTAGATAGATTCATGTCAAAGGGGCAATGAGCTGATCTCTAACAGGAACGCAAGTATCATAATTTTAACATCATTTCTACTTCAATTCTAGACAATCGAATTTCAATTCTCCTTCAATTGTATTTCTCGCCAATTCAATTTTACCTATTATGATAACAAATTAGTACGCGAACCATTACGGTGATCAAAACAGGAGACCCAATGTCGACTTCCTGGGGGTCGTCGTGCTGGTGTTCAATGATCCGCCCCATTTCACATCACATCTATTGATGTCATGACCATGAAAGACTAGTTCCGCTGTTGACACTGGACGAAGTAGTAGTCAAAAGTCAAAAGAGTAGCAGTTCCATTGGTTTAAAATCTCAATCCATTAACCGAGTCCAAGTGTGCTCAAAACCCTCTACAACAACGTGTTACGTGTCACTCTCACTGCGCATCCAGATAAAAAACCAGTCCCAGATTTATCAGATCAAACTTTTACCAAACTCCCAAAATACCCCTACTGCACCTCCCATTCTCCCACCCCACCACCAAACAATCCCCGTCATTTCAGTCACAACCCAGGTCCTCTTTCGTCCACCCAAATTCCCCCACTCTTCTACTCAGTCCGAACTTCACCGAAAACCAAGAAAGGCAAAGAGGGGAGTGAGAGAGAGATAGAGAAGAGAGAGAGAGAGAGAGAGAAATGGAGTTCAATTTCAACACCAACAGGGCGGAAGCGGAGCGGTGGCTGAGCACTGCCGTGAAGCTACTGTCGGCGCATGACTTGCAGGGAACCAAGACCTTCGCGATCCGAGCCCGAGAGACCGACCCCAGGCTCGAGGCTACCGAGCAGATAATCGCCGTTGCCGACACTCTCCTCGCCGCTGAATCCCAGATCAACAACCAAAACCAGCAGCCCGACTGGTACGCTATTCTCCAACTCGCCCAGTACACTCAGAACCTCGAAATCGTCGCGACTCAGTACCGCCGACTGGCTCTTCTGCTGAACCCCCACCGGAATCGCTTCCCTTACGCCGATCATGCCTTCCGGCTGGTCTCCGAGGCCTGGAACGTCCTCTCTAACCCCACCAAGAAGGCCATGTACGACCACGAGTTGAGCATGTTCAACCGGTTCGACTCGCCCCCATCCGGGTCGACTCAGCTGTTCGAGAGGCAATTCTTGCAAATGCATCATGTTCAGCAACAGCCACCACAGCCACCACCACCACCACCACCACAGCCACTTCTATTTCATCCCCAACCGTCACAGCTACTACAATTCCAGCCTCAACCGCCACCGCAGCCGCAACCACAATCACAACCAGAAGTGCAGAGACCACAGCCGCAATGGAATTTTCAACAAAAGCGACAACAACCACCGCCAGAGCAGCAACATCAGCAGCAGCACCATCAGCAACATCACCACGAACCTCCTCAGCATCAGCAGCAGCAGCAGCAACAATATCAGGAACTTCCCCAGCTGTGGCAGCAGCTGCAGCAACAACATCAGCAACAAGAAGTGAGTAAAAACCCTAGAAGTAAGGACGGAAGACCGTCGATGGAGGAGGAAAGGCCGATTCCGATTCCCATCAATGTGACCGAGCCTGCACCTCCGCCCTCCGAGTCAACTCCTCCGCCCTCCGAATCAACTGGCCCTGTTGAGTCAACTCCTCCTTCTGAGTCAGCTCCCCCTTCTGAGTTGACTCGGCCTCAAACAGTGTCCAAAACGGGGAGCTTCTGGACTGCATGTCCTTACTGTTACAACCTCTTCGAGTATCCTAGCGCTTACGAGGATTGCATGCTTCGGTGCCAGAATTGTAAGAGGGCATTCAATGCAATGGCGATAGCGGCACCGCCTCAGGCGGGGAAAGATGTGAACTTCTGCTGTTGGGGGTATTTCCCATTGGGGTTACTGGAGAATAGTAAGGATACAGGCGGATCAGCGGAGGTGTGGACACCATTTTCGACAATGTTTGCTTGCCCAATACAAGGGAAGAAGAATACCGCACGAGCCAAGATTGCTAATTCGGGGCCAAGGGTCTATTATGATGATGAGGAGGCGTTGCTTGATGTTTCGGATCCAAGTGAGGACTCTGATGATGATGATGAGTGGCAGAGGGTTAGGAGGAAGAAGAGAGTTGTAAAGGCAAAAGCTAAAGCTTCCACTGCTAAGACTCCGGTGAGAGCTTCGGATAGATTAAGGAAGGGGAGTCAGAATGCTGGTGGGCAGGGTAAGGAGGGTACTGGTGGGAGTGTGGGTGCTGGGTCTGTGTCGAAGGCAGAGTCAAGTAAGAAATCAACTTCTGGTGCAAGAAAGAGAAGTGCTGCTGCATTGGGGAAGTTGGATTTGAATGTGGAGTTTAGTAATAATGAGGGGGAAGAGCCTGCGGCTCAGACAATGAGTGAAGGGAATGGGACAGCAAATGGGGAGGAGGATAATATGGAAGGGATCGGGTTTTTTGAAGGTCTTGACGAGTTTTTGAGTAGTCTGCCCATACTTAATGTTGTGGGAGATGACAAGGTTAAGGCAAATTAGGGAAGTAAGGGTAAGGGTTTTCCTTTTTGTCATTGCTGCTTTAGCTGTTGTAATTGCTTTATGGATGCATGTTGTATTGAATGATGTAGAGCTTCTATGCCTTTTGTTTCATGGCTCTCGCTGTTTGAATCTGTTATATAATCTGCAGCAATGTGAACTTAATTCAGTTTTTAGTTTTAGAAAATGTTAATGTGATTTCCGTAGATTATCTTGTGGTGGAAGGATTGATCTTTGAAGTTTGGACTTCAACCCCAAAATAGACTAACATGGGGCATCAGTTCTGGTGATAATCTGATTTTTCCGTTGTGCTGAAATCATGAAATCATCGTATATTATAATGCAGAGGCTTTTTTTTTTTTTCGTCAGTCATGGTTGAAGCTTGTTTATTTATTATCTTATTGCTGATCCTATGACTAGGATTTTGTTAGGAGACCATTAACATTTTTTATGTTGGTGTGCTATAAGCAATTTCACATTCTTTTGGGATTAGAAAGGAAATGGAATGGGCCTCCCTTGCGTTATTTACTTGATATATTATTTATTATCCCTAGGTGTCTTATAGGGAACTCAAAACCTGTTTTTCCCAGCTGGTTTGGGATCTACTATAAATAGTATAAAATGTAGCAGTTGTGAATGGAAGAAAACAACACAAGGAGTAAGAACTGATGACAAGGAATATCTTTAGTGATGCTACTCTTGAGTTGGGCAATGAACGGATGAAAAGGAAGATAATTTTCGTGGGTGTTGGGAGAATGGCAGTTTGATGGGTTTAATTTCCCCGACCATGACAGAGGTTGCCAGGTCTTTGGGGTTATTCAAAGAGGTCATGTTTATTGAGGTATCTGGCCAAACTTTTGGAGAAGAACATTTGCAAACATGATGGTAAAGCTTATTTGGCTCTAAATGATGCCTTTGTTGTTCTTTCTGGAGCATATGGAATGTCTGTTGGAAATCATAGCACTGGCCCAACTTGGGCTCATAAAAAGCCAGTCGGCTCCAAGTTTAGATGGGCATTCAAATTCCATTCTGTCACTAATGACAATGGTATTATTGACATTGAAAGCTGGAAATGGAGCAACATGGTAATCACCAAGCCGTAGTGATTGTTGGCTTTTCATTTCTAAATGGATTCCTGATGTGATTCATCAATGTTTTAGTTCTGTGGAAGAATCTATTTATACAAGGTCCATTATCATTTATTTCTCCGCATATTCTTGTTCTTTAAATATAGTGCAATATGTCGATCTATACTTGCTAGAGGACTCAAAAGGTTGCATAAGGGTACTGTTGGGTTTTGTAGAGGAAAGGAGGCTATATTTTTGTGGGTATGGTAAGTATTTTAGGAAGAGCGGTCATTAGTGTACCATGTGTATTGCGGTCTTGATGTGCCGTGGTCATTAGTAAACCATATGTATTTCAGTCTTGATGAACTCTTTTGTTCCCGTGAATCACTTGTATATGCCCTTACTTATTGGAGAGTAAAGGATTGCTGTATTGTTCCTAGGTTAGTGCCCCGGTGGTCTGTGGCAGGATAACTAATTAGCTGTTGCTGTTTGAGGTGGTTTTCATTTCGTTCTTTTACAACTCAAACAAATCTGCGTATCGGCCTTTTGATTTCTAAAACAAAAATTCTTGGGTGCTTAGCAGCACTTTGATTCTGGAATTTTTGTGTCTTGTTCTACTAGACGTGGATAATTGATTTACTCTTTAGCAGCATGGTCCTTCCTTTCTTTATTTGATGACTGCCTGTTGTGCAACAATCTGCATATCGTGTTGTATTGAGAATTATTTCTTCATTTTCGTCGCTATGACGTTTGAAGTTCTATTTTAATTTTCTTTCCCATTTTTCTTCTTCTCTGCAATGGTTCTGTACGTAAGGAGTATGTCATAAAAGTATAGGAAGCTAGGGGAAACAGTCCCGTGGGCACGTTTAACGGTGTTATCTTCTTTGGCAATGTCTTGCTTGTTTTGGAATTGGTTTGTCTTTTCATGTCTAGTCGACGAATATCTGAACACTTCATCCTTTTCGTTGTCCACTTAATCATTCAGTCGTTTAATGGATTACAAATCACACTGTTGGGCAAGGTGTAAAGGGAGTATTGACGAAAACACTAGGAATAGGAGACTCAATGCTCGGGTTATAGTGTCGTCTACGGTTTAGTGTGGTAAATGTTTTCTAGTGCGTATTTCTCCACTCTTATAGGTAGAGGCAAATATATGTGAAATTGTGTGAAGTTTTATGCTATACTGTGGGTGATCTACTTACCATTCTTTGTTCTTTTTTCATAACGGATACATGGTGGTAGTGTTAGGATGGAAAAGATAGGTCAGCATCGATATGCCGAGGCATAATGTCATGCTGAAGAATTGGTACTGATTTCACTGAAATATGTTTTCAGTGTTCACCCTAGTACTTGCATTTATGCTGCGGTGGCCGGTTGGTATGGGTACGGCCGCAGTTATTGATGTTTGTAATTGTGGTGGGTGCACGTCCATTAAACGTTTGCTTTGGCATCATTGCCCATCATTCAGATGTAAGTCTCGTACCTGTAATTCTACACGTTACTTACTACAAAGCCGGTGTGGAGTCACGTCATGGAAACTCGGCTCCAGGAGGCTCTACAAATGGTTCTTCACAATAGAAAAAGGAACAACACTTGCAATCGTACTAAAATAGACCATCTTAGTTCTATGATCATGCGTTTAGATGAGTGAAATGAGTTTGGAATATGAACAAAACACACAACTTCTAAAATTACATGCCTAGTTATGTGTTTGAATTCACAAATAAAGAAATTTAAGAATTCGATGTGAAAACAGCACATCGCTAACATGGATCTTATTAGACTACTAATACTAGTATGCCGAGGACTCGGTGAGAGAGTTGAAAGGAACGGGAAGGCGGTGAAGGAGGTAGGACAATCCAAAATTGGGTTTGAGAGGGGCTTCCCAACTTAGGCCATCTCTAACCAAAGGTTGGTTAGATGGCTTATTTTAGCCCTCTGACCCTCCAAGAAAATAATATTTTAATGGACAGTGCATGGTCATATTTTTTACCATCTCCAACCGAGGGCCAAATGACCATAGGACTCGTTTTAGCCCTGTCACTAAAAATCATCTCTAACCGAGGGTTATAGGGCCAAACATAATTTATTATTTAAATTTAAAAATTACAAAAACTTAAATTTAAAAACTACAACTAAAATTTAAAAAATACAATTTATATATTTCAAGTCAAATGTGAGAGGTTTTATTTAGAGTATAAAAAAATAAAAATAAAAATAAAAAATAAAATAAAATAAAAAGAAAAAGAAAAGGGAAGTGGGGGGAGAGTCCCACATCGGCTGTGGGAGAAGTATAAAAAAAAAACACAAAAAATGGAAGTGGGTGGGAGTCCCACTTCGGCTGTGGGAGGGATTTGAGCAAGCTCTAAAGATAAAAAGAACACCCAAACATTCAACCAAACATACTTTCTGGGCCTATAATTAAACAAATTTTGTAAAAAAAAAAAAAATAATTGAAAAATAACGGCTAGCAGATCGTTGCTTTTTGAATTCTAGCCAGGCCCGGGGCTGACTGGCTGGCTCATTTGGGTTGCCCGGTTGGCCCTTTGGCCCTTTTTTGTCTAGTGGGGCCCACAAGCCCTCTGGCCTGACCCTCGGTTGGAGATGGTTTTAGGGTTATTTTCGGCCCTCTAGACCTCTCGATTGAAGATGGCCTTAGCATCTACTTATATGTATATTTTTTTAGTTTAGTTTTTGTCAAAGGGTAAAATAGGTTTTTACTTTTTGTTAAACAATGGATTTTGTTAGATTAAATATTAGATTAGCTACCAACAGAATTCAAACTCAAGTCATCATACAAGGGCTCAATTTGTTTTTACCACTATGGTAAAAGTCCTTTGCTAGGGTAAAGTAGGATTTAATAGCTCTAAAAAACTTTAGGTTCAAATAGTAAGCATTAGTTATACAAGTAAGTTTTCAATATTTTGGACTAATAAAGAGTGGTATTATATCCACCCCTCAACCCTCTTTTCACACCCACTTTTTAATAATAAATTTAATGTCATATTTGGCCATTTGTGAAATGACTTTTAAAACCCTAATAAAAATGAACCCTAATCTATTTTTTTAGCTAAAAAACATAAAAATAAAAGTGAAAGAACAATTTTTTATTTCTGAAGAAGAATATGAGAAGCCATGAACAATCCTATCGGAGAAGAATATGAGAAGCCATGAACAATCCCATCCAAGAAGAATATTACAAGCTTGAGCCACGCATCCAATCAATGTTAAAATTGGAAGCAAACAAAACTGAAAATTAGAAGAAAAGGGAATATCACAGCAACCCCTTCCCCCCACCCCCAAAACCACAAGCCAGAGCCACTCCCAAATCAAATTGACTTCTGATTGCAGCCATCCTCTTTTTTCTGCAACCCTAATCATTTTTCTTTCTCCATCTCAATCAAACTCAATTCAACTGAAATCGTCCTTGTCGGTATGTGAACAATTACAATTCCATCGAAGATGTTGTTGCTAGTTAATGTTTTCTCCTCCAAATTTCCATAGAGAGAAGGTCGGCTGGCAGTGAAAGAGGTTGTCGTCAAGTAAAGTTTGGTGGTGTCAAGCTCGGGTGGCTTTCTTATTCTCGGTTTTTATTTATTTTAATTTTTAGTGAAAATTAAATTAATGCAAGGACATTTTAGGAATATTAGGGGTGAGAAAATAGTGTTTTTATTTTTTAATTTCTTTATGCGGGGTGAAAATATAAGGTGGGTGAGGAAATAGGATTGTAAGGTGATTGTATCAGCTTTCCTAATAAATTGTTCGATTTTATATTCATTAGATTAGTAAGTAGGAAAAAATAATATTTCTTCAATTCAATCGTGACATGGTGTCCATATAGGCCTGGCATTCCTGACACGATCCGATAACCCGACACGACACGACACAAAATTAACAGGTGTTCGGGTTGACACGATAACAAATCGGGTCGTTATCGAGTAACCCGATAAGCACCTGTTAAGATAACGGGTTGGTTTGGGTATACACATGGGTAACACGATACCTAATAACCAAAATATTAATTTTATAATTTTATAACCCTAAAAAAATACTATAATAATTATATATATTAATTTAACAATTTTATACCCCTAAAAACTATAATAATTATATATATATATATATATATTAAATTAAAT